TGTGGCAAGCTCAGGATTGAATTCCACGTCGTTTTCTCTTTTACTTTTTTAAATCGCTTAGTTCCAGGAATTCAGAGGAATGAAAAGCTTTTAGCATTGCTCTAATTCTTCCCATTGATGTCAATAATGCTGAATGCTTTTAAAAATCTTACTCCTAGATGTTTGATGAAGAATGTTTGTCGTTACATGCTGGCAAAGTAAATTAGTCCAGCAACGCAGTGGGACAATGTTTTTGTTGTACGGTAGTTTGAATCTTGTTTCCATTTCCCTGGGAAGTTACAGAATGTTGAACAGGATTTCAGGGAAATTTATTTTAATGGCTTTGCTGTTGCTTTGATTTTTCTCTAGTGGTGCCAAGAGCAAACCATACCTTACTGTTGATCAGATGATGGAATTTATAAATTTTAAGCAACGTGATCCACGATTAAATGAAATCCTTTATCCACCGTTAAAACAAGAACAAGTTCAACAACTCATTGAGAAGTATGAACCCAACAGTAATCTAGCAAAGAAAGGTCAGTGGTTTTTATATTCTCGCTGTACTCTGTTTCTGATTTGAAACAGTGACTCAATTATCCTACAGTGCATGCTAAAGCAAAATTTGGTTCAGAATCAAATTACATTTCCAGCTCTCTGCTTTTGGATCGTACAAGCCTGTGAGACATCGTGTGGTTCGTTTTTAAATGTATTTGGTTGGGATCAATTTAGGAAGGATGGGGCTGGTTTCAGTGTTTAGTTGTCAGTATGTGTAATTGAGAGTTTAGAACAGTTGCTGTGGTATGCAAACTTCAGCAGAAGCCTTACTACCACAATGACTATTTACCGGCATCTGAAATGTAAAATTTAAAGAAACAATTGGTGGCATTGAAACTAAGATGATGATAATTCTATCATTTAATAATAGTAGTAAGTCCAGCCCTCTGTCTTCTGATAAAGTGGTACACAAAGTAAGATGTGAGAGTAGCTGAGTGTGTTCCGTGCTATAATCACAGAAAATTCCCTTTTGGAAATCTCGAGTGTTGTCAGGACTTAACTGGGCATTTTGCCAAAACCAGTGAGAGAACTCCTGCTCAAATCTCTGCACATTTTTGCTACCACCACAAGTCTTAAAATAGCATTGAATTTGCGTCTGCATCCTGTTTTATTCCAATCCACATATCCTAATGATCACCCCAGCTTTTAATGTCTTTATACCTTAGTAATTTTAGGGGCATAGGAATATCCTGGAAAACAGATCTGATACTAAAAAACTGTTTTGGTCCAGAGATTTTGGATCCAGAGGCAACAAAAAGACATCTTCCCCTAAAGTCTGGAGGTTAACTGAAAGCACTCCTGCCCCCTCCCTGGAAGCCTTCTGACCCAGATGCCTTCCTGAAGGAAACCTGTGGCTCTCGATGCCACGATCAGTGTTATCCCAAGGCAAAACACTTGTCATTTTTCTCATAAGCCTTCTTATTTTGCTGGTCTGATCAAATTTAGTGTTTTCAGAGCTTTTGATGGAGGGTTAAATCCTGCTGCTTTGTCACGCTTATGCAAACTATCTTTGGACGTCAGTGAGAATACTAGCATGGGTAGATGAAAACATGTTGTGACCTCCTCTCTCATCCGTGCAAATATTAGAATATTGCTCTGCGCTTACCTTATTTCACATCAGCTACAGGAAAGTCTGGTACCTAAAAGATCATTCTTATTACCCAAATATTGGCACTTCATATAAACCAAATAAAGGATTTATTAGAAGGAGGTGTGCTAGTGCGCTAGCAGAACACCAAAGTCAAAATGAAATCGCCTTCTGACTAGCAATAAGGGGGAAGCATGAAGCAAACCTCAGAAAGAAGGGTGATGTGATGGTGTTTGCTGGCACCCTCCAAGTAGGATTTGTGGGACACCTCCAGCTTACCCTGATTTACGTTGGTGCACACATTTGCTGCAAGCACTTGCTCTTCTATAGGTGCCTCTCTTCCTGGGTATGATTTATATTGCTCTTACAGAATCAGTTCTCACAGAAAATGCTGACTTTAAGAAGGGAAAGGCAGGTCACAGAGAGTTAATTCCTTTTGTGTGTGTGTTGGTGTTTTTTTTTTTCTCTTCAAACTTGTGCACTGAGGTCCAGCAAACTCGGACAGAGCTGGCACAACCTGCGGGCCACCTCTGTGCTGCAGACACCACCTCTTATATAGCACCCTGTCTGGCAGCTGAGCTGCAGCAACTGGCACATGCTGCTAACCATGCTCCAGGGAAAATCCTGAGCTTACTGTGTTAAAATTACAGGAATTGGCTAATCAGGAATGACATGGGGACACAATATTTTCTGTACATCTGCTCCGAGTTGGGAATGCAACTCACTGTATATTAAATGAAGTGTAGGTGTGCGCTCAATCCTACACTCCTTGAATAATTGCAAACAAATGCTGCGTGTTGGTAAAATGTCACCAAAATATAACAGTGCATGTTCAAAATAATGACTTAACCTTCTAATGTGGTGTTTTGTAAAAGGGATTGTCACTCAGGCTTTCTGCTGTTGGAAAGGACTGTTCATAGGCTGAATTGCAGGGATGGCAGACTGAAGTGACATACTTCAGGGACACTTTCTCTGCCACTGAAACTATACTCACTTGGGAGCAGAGATGTTATTTTCAGTAGACCTGTGGATGTTCAAACGACAGTTAGACGTGGTCCGCTGTTATACACCCATGAACTTGTTGGCCTTAACTTCTCACCTCTCCTGCTCAGATATTCTGCTAAACTTCTTATGATGGCATTCCTTATGTCCCCTTATTTGCCGGCGGCAAAGTCAGTGGAGAAGTAGGGATGGAAGTAGGATGTTTGGAATGGCCGCAGTGCTGCCAGCTAAAATAGTAAGAGCAGGTAAAAACTTTAGGGCACCCAGACCAGCAGCTAAAATAGGTAAGAAGGTAGTAGAAGCCTTCATCTAACATAGTTCTCAAAGAAAACGGGACGCAGCAGCTCCATGAAGAGAGATGGGCTCAACAACATGTTGTTGTCCACATGTTCCTTTACGCTCCTGCGTTTCGAAGTGAGCTGGAAGAGGTCCCAGCTAAACAACTCCTAAGGATTAATGGGGTACACCAAGAAACGGAAGAGAGTAGTGTAACAAGGCACATAAGGCAGAGGGAATGATGTGAGAGAATTACATGATAAATGGCACGATGGGAAATGGAGTTACAGGTGGCCTAAGAGTGACTTCATCGCTGTTGTACCAGAGCAATGCAATTAAATAATTGGACTTTTGGAGCAGTTTTGCAGAGTTTTGGTTCAAGAAGCAAGCCAGAAGATCTGACAACATGGTATATGTATTTGTTCTTTCTTGGCAATGAGAAGTTACTCCTTTGAAGTAAATTACAGATACGGGTCCAGAACAGAAGAAAATACCACAAAGAAATTTAGAAGTTGTGATTAACTGCTGCTTGTGAGTAATGAGTGATTTGAAGTACTTTGTGGTGGTAGAGACTTTAAAGGCTTGTTTGCAAGAATTAGGTGATACAAATTGCCAGCCTTCGTGCTAGTTAAATCACTTTTCTCAGGTTGTTCTAGAGTTCAAACATTTGCAGCTGCTCAGTGTGTGTTGTTTATATTGTTTTGTTTTGTTTATATTGTATTGTTTTGTTTCCATAAGCTGCTTTTCTGATCGGCTCTGTTCATTATCTTGTTTCATTATGATAACATCAGATTTCAGAGAGGTTAGGGACAAACATACACATAAATGGTGAAGGTCTGTCCGCTTTCATGTTTGTTTCCGTAGTATTTCTATATTAAAGAATCTATCTGATGGTCAGGTGTCCCGCAGAAATAAAGGGATTCATGTTCAGCATCCTCATGAAACAAGCTCTTCTGTTTCATTCAGACTTTAAAGTCTGCATAGTCCTTGTTTAAACAGCCAGAGAAAATGACTTTTATGAAAGCCTGAGAAAAAGTTAGTGGCAAATGTCCATATTTTTCAAGTATTCTATAAGGCCACAAGGCCTACATTTATAATCGTCTTTCACAAAGTTAGACAAAATATATCTCATTTTTCTTTTTTTTTTCCTGTGTGCAGTAGCACACGTCAAGATGCAAACTTAAACTGAATACTTGCAATTCACAAGGAGTAAAAGCATGTATGCTGTGGGAGTAAGGTTTCACGTTTGCAACATGCAGAACGTCCTGGCCTTGATGTAGTAAATCACTTAAGCGTATGCTTGACTTTATGGGTGGTGTGGGAAGAGAGGATCGTTATATAAAATCTCTTATGCTCCATTTCCTTGAGCATCATATTAATTCTCTCTTGAAGTTCAATTCCCATGATTACCTATTTCCCAACATTGTTGAGGTGAAATTTCTTAGCAAATAAAATGTTATGCATCAAAAAGTTCTATTAAATAGAATTGGGGATTTTTCCTTGAAAATTTAAATCCAAATTCATAAAACGGAAACTATGTGCCTCTGTACAGCAGCCTGACTCCTTGCTCCCACTACCCTGCGTGGACAGTTCTAGACCGTCACTCGTCTGACGATTATATCTTCTTCTAATTTCACATCTAACTGTATTCATGATCTCTGCACATCCACTGTACAACAATATTCTCTTTTAACTCAATTATTCTTCTCTTATAGCTAATTGAATGAATTCCTAAAGAATGGTTGCACTGTCTCTCAACTTTCACAGCAGCAGTCAAATGCTTTTGACATCTCACAATTCTCCGTTCCTCTGATTGCCATTGTAGCCCTTTTTCTCTACCTGTTGCAGCTAAATTATAATATTTTGAACACAGTAAGCAAGAACTGTATGTAATATTTTAAACTTTTTCAATGTGGCTCTTCAGGTACCTGGTAAAATCAAATACCAATGTGCTTACTGGATAAGGGCCTTAGGTGGCACAGTTTTGAGTAAAAAGGCTGCCCGTGTTCCTTCTCGTCGCTAAAGTATTTTAGGTATTGTATTGCTGGGATGCGATTGAGCTTTTGCAACATCAACAGATACGCAGGCTTGACATCCACATAGGTTAAGCATGTGGAGTAGTATTTTATTGTGGTTGAAGCAAGCTGTTGTGATTAATGCTTTGTGTCGTACAGGGAAGGAGATTAATGTGCTATGTATAGCACGTTTCCTTATCAGGTGGAAGCAGAAGGAAGTTCCTGATACTGCTGAGCAGTCTCTCACTGTCAGCAAAACCACGCTGTTAGGGCTGGTTAAGTAGCATCTTGTAGTTTGGTATTTTCAGGCTGTAAAGCATTTGCATTGGGTGGCTGACATAACTACTAAAATGCATTCCCTTTCAACTTACCAGGTTGATAATGGGATGTGTGTTACTAAATCAGTTGCCAAGTGGTTGATTGGGAATTTCCTTATTTGCTTTTATTTCTAAGAAGATTTGTATAAAAGTAAGTTGTTCAGGATCTTGTCACATTATGGATGGGAAATGGGACATCAATGCTGAGTTTCAGGTGCTTCTGCTTGCAGTGTCCAGGCTCCTGGGAACCATAGTCCTAGGTCTTAGAATTCTGTGAAATTTAC